TATGTTCCTCATATTCATGGAAATTGGTTTGAATTGGATTTATTTGAAACACCCTTGGGCCTTGATTTTACAAATTGAGCTTTGAATCATGTTAAAGTATGAGTTTTGATGTGTTTCTGGAAAATTGGCCCAAGAGGATCGAAGTCTTGTAATTAACGCAAACTTGCCACTTTCCATTCTTCTTGGGTACTACGACCGTGTTCAAAACCCACCGAGGGTAGTGCACTTCCTGGATTTCCCTAGTTTCTAGCAGGTTCTTGACTTCCTCCGCGACTACCTCGGCGTGATGAAGGGCTAATCTCTTCGTTCTTTGAATGGCATGGAAAACCTTACTGGTTACTTGTCCCGAGCTTGCTTTTGCCTTTCACAGCACCTTTGTTTCGTGCTTTAATGTTATGAATGCATTAATGCTTGATTGACCTGAGTTTTGTGGCCTTGAAAAAGAAGAAATTTTAACAACTGTTAATGTATTGAAAATGGTGTCATATATTCTGGAAAGGTCATAATAAGATGCAAATTCATCTTGAATTCCTAAAGTATCTATTATCGACAATAATCTTATGGTATTTCAATTTGAGCAATATATAATTTTTGTTTCTATCTAGAAATCTAGTAGTAAGGCTTTGAATCTGTAAGCAAAAAAGAAGCCAAAAATTGATTTTAGCTAATCAAAAGTGAATCAATCGATTCACCGATTCACCGATTCACTCACGGTTCACAACTATTTTCGATTTATGCAACATGTTCATATCGATTACTCACTGAATCGAATAGAATTGTACGATTTGAATTGTGAACTGTATGATTCCAATAACAGAATAGAACCATAGATAAGATAACTAAGAGTGACTGTTTGATTATGGTTGCAAATGGTCTTAATTGATTAATTATCATATATATACTAGTCAAGACAGTAAGCAACAGATTGTATATATATATATATATACATCTATCAACTCCACTCCACTCTGTTTGTTTACCCAGAAAATCAAATTTGCCAAACTTAGTGCTTTTGTTTTGCTGAATTTGTTTTCGTACTCGCCGGAAAATACTCAACACCAGTACCAGCATCACAAAGGAGAATATCCAGTAGACAGGTTAAAAAAATCAACTCATCTGAAGATGAACAGACGTAGGGTATTTTGGTCCAAGAAATTGATAAAATGCGTGGGTATTTTGGTTAGGGACCTGAGGCAGTATTACATTTTTTAATGTCCTTTATGCAGAAAATTGTTATTATTAGGGAGCTTAAAAAAAAAACCCCTATTTTATATTATTAACTTTTTAAGTTATTTTATTTTTTAGTATGCTAAATTAGCCTATTTATTATCCATATTATCTATTATTGGAATCAAATTCAAACTCTTGTTTTTTCGGCTTCGTTTGGGTTGTGAGTTGACTTTTTTATTTTTTAACTTTCGTTTAGCAACTCAATATTTTAGTTTAAAAGTCAAAAAGTTACTAAAAAATAAATAAGTCAATAACCTATACTAAAAAGTAATTTTTTATTTTTTTATTTTTTGCATATCTTTTTATAAAAAGTCAAAAAGTAATTCCAAACATATTAATTTTTTTATCTCATATTTCAGTCAAAAAGTTAAAAAGATATTAAAATAGTATGTTCCCAAACGAGGTCGTCTGGCCTAAAAAATTCGTTTGGGTTAGGCTTTTTGACTTTTGTAAGAGAAAAAGTGAAATGATTATAGTTTGGATGTAACATTTTGTCTTATTGATTTTTTAGCTTATTTTATTTTTTTGTGGCTAAATTAACCCCCAACCTTAAAGAAGTTTCATGCCAAGCGAGGGTTTTTTTTTTTAGAATGTAAATCAAACTCTTAGTTGATCTCCACTATTCACCACACCGCCCACGAACATGAGAAGTTATTTGATAGTTTAAAAGCATTACTTCATACCATTCATGTTTACACAAGTGTCTAATTGTCTCTTCAAAAGAGACAAAAACAAGTAGTGAGACCTATTGTTTCAACCAATAATATTCTGATTGGGGCACCACCTAGATTTGCCCTTAAGACAATGAATAATTTCTCCAGAACATGCATCATATCTCTTGAAAAGTGGAACCACTCAAGACCATCTCTAACATTTACTCATATCTTTCATCAAATTTAAATTTGATGAAAATTTAGTGCAAATGGTGCCCCAATCCTGTCATCAAAGTGATATCAATTTAAGGAAGCGGCAGATTTTTCATCAAAATGAAGGAGCGTTTAACCCTTTATCAAATTTTGAAATTGACCATTGGTGGATGACTGGGGTGGACGGGTGGACAATTGGATTTTGATCAAGATTTACTATATGCTAGACGAAAACAATTGGACTCCATCATATCATATCAAAATCTTGATCAAATTCAGTGGATGTTGGCCCTGTTTGGTAGGGCTTATTTCCAGCTTATTTCAGCTTTTAGCTTAATTTAAGCTATTTTTATGTGTTTGGTTTAGCTTAATAATATAACTTATAGCTTTTTGTAAGTCAAAAATCAACTTATTCTTTGAGTGGGGGAGGAAAAGCTTAATTTATAAGTTAAAAGTCAGCTTATGTTCACAGTTATAAGGTATAAGCTGTTAAGCTATAATCACTTTTCCACAGCTCTACCAAACGGGGCCGTTGCATTGCTGAAGATAGAGGTGTAACTTGGACAAGTTCAGACAGATTAAAAAGGTTGTTCAAGTTCAATTTAAATTGTGTTAAGAACTATCTAGACCTGTTTAAGTTTGAATTATAATATTCTAATTTAAATCAAACTTCTGATTTTTGCTTAAATTTACACCGAATTCAAAAATATTTTATGCAAGTCATAAAAAAATTCGAGTTGAATTCTCAAGTAGAATTCGTCTAAGCTACACCAATAATGTAAGGTTCTAATAAAAAATTTAAACCCTTACATCTAGGGCTATTTGGCTAACCAATACGACTCCATCCACTATAAAAGTGATCCTGACCCTCCATGTATGTGTAGGGCCCACTCATGTATGTGTCAGATTTGTGGGGGGTTTTATGGAGGTCTTGTAGAGGTGGAGGTTTTAATCATTGCTATTTTTCTTTGGAAAATGTTTGGGACCCCTTTTAGGGATGATCCTCACACTCTCAAAGTGATCCTGACCTTCCATGTGTGCGGGGCCATAAAAATAAATTCATAATACACTTTAAATTAAGGCACAACAATCACTACTAAAGGCATAGCAATGAGCCTTAATCTCTTGGCCAACACTTTGTAGACACAGCCAATCAATTAAAGCCCCTTCATATTCTCTTTTTCTCACTCTACCCCAACCCAACCCAACCCAACCCAATTTCCCTAGGCTAGTCCATATAAATTGTTAACCCCTTCCCCTTTCTCTTCCCTTTCCCACCCTAACCCAACCCTATCCAATTTCCCTGGGTTAGTCAATATAAATTGTTAGCAGATACAGATAGATGGCCAAGGTTGTTGAAAATCAAAGTTTAAATTATAAAAAATTAGAAACACATTTTAATCTCATAAAAGGTTAAATCTTGGGATCTTTTTGCAATTTTCCCTATAAAAAAATTGAGGGAAATTATAAAAAAGAAAGATCTCAGAGTTTGACCTTTTTAACAAAATAAATCTTGAAGTTTTTAATTTTATCAATTTAAACCCTAAACTTTTTATTTGTTTTCAATTTATACAATTTTCTTATTTTCATTACATAAAATCGACTGAAAAAGAGTATTTTAGACATTAAATTTAATGAAAAATGATATTTCAGACATTTTATATACACTTACATTGAATTTAATGACTAAAATGCACTCTTTTTTTTTTACCAATTTTACTTGATAGAAATAGGGTAATGGTTTAGATTGAAAATAAAAAATAAAATTTAGGATTTAAAAAGACAAAATAAAAGGCTAACGGTTTATTTTGTTATAAGAGTCCAACTTCAGAATTTTTTTTTTTGAGAGGGGGGGGGTTTTTTTTGGGGGGGGGGTTAATTTTCCCAAAAAAATTGACAATCATGTCATACATGAGTAGGCTCCGTAAGATCGTAGAAGTTCCAACAAGAATCCCAATAAACCTACGAAAATGATAAAAGCCCAACAAAAATTACTTGTTTTTCGAGACCTCTTTATAAGTTCTATCAATATATGTTTAGATCACCAACTCATACTTGATTGCATTTTATTGGAATCGAAAAACCCAAATGAATGTGGCTTCCCTATTATTATTGAATTAAATCCTCAATCATGATATTCTTTTTCTCTCACTCCACATCCCAAAATGCTTTCACATCGTGTTAACCAGAAATGGCTTGAGAGAGAAAATATTCATGTTTTAGAGTACTCCCCGAAATAGATTCAGTGGAGATAGAGTGGGGCTTATAGCTCAAAAGATTAGAATATGTGGGTCCCTAATACAAATCAAGCAGCTTTAATGTCAGATCATGTAAGAGTCATCTTGATAAGAAATTCTCTGCATGATAAAATGGGGAACACAAGCACTAAGGGCACCTCATTTACATGCGTGCCAGGGATCTTTTAGGGGAGTCCATCATGCAAACCAAACATTAAACTTAGTTTCATTTGGCTCCGTTATAGTGAATTTTGACTATTAGACAGTGAAATTTCACTATTTTTATTTTAAAGAAAGTGAAATTTTCAATTGAGGGATAAAACTTGCAAAATCAAGAGAATACAAATACTAAGTACCTAGTTTAAGGCAGCAAAATTCCAAATATACTTTTTTGAAATGAAAAATCAATTACTGTCTATGCAAAATACTCACTCAAATGCAAAACAATCACCTCACAATAAAACTATGAACAACTTATAATCAGCAGGTCTCAAAAGCAATACAATGATTTACACCTAATTAAGGACACCATCACAATGCAGGGACAATAGTTCCAATGGAAAGTATTGTTGTTAAGAAGTCACTCTGTTTCTTTATGAATGAATTGTTAAATAACTGAAGTTGTTAACATGCTTTTTTCTCTTCATGCTGGAGAAAAAAATCAACGTGCAATGATCGAAAATAGCTTCCATTCAAGTCTTCTAGAAAAGAGTTTCAATAACCTTCCACCACCATTGCTGTACACTTGCCTTTCAAAACAACCCAACTGTCTTAACTACAGAAAACTAACTCTAATCAAGAACTAGACAAAGAACAAAAGAAAACTAGGTAATTAACTAAACCATTAACTATGTCAGAACAGACTAAACAACACAAGTTTACTGTTTCTTAGTCCAAACAATAACAAACTGATAAAAACTTATCAGGAAACCTGTCAAGAACTCACAATGATTTCATGCTATAATGGCGTGCCAAGCGATTTGCACTTCCATCATTTAAAACACCCTCTATCAGCTCGTACTTCTCATAATTCGCCTTCAAAGTCTCCACCTGTTTGTTTGCAAGCTTCTCTTCCTGTGCTAGTTGAACCTGAGACAAAAAAAACTAAATAATTAAATACAAGAAATAAAAATCACAGGTTACTTTTTTTTGGGTAAATTACACTTTTCTTTTTGATAACTCGGTATCCGGCCCATTGAACCAACTAATCTGAAAGACCAATCCCACCGTTCACTTGCGGGGGTCTCAATTAAACCAAGGGCTTTGCCCTGTATGGACCGACCCCAAAAAAATTATTTGCACCTAGGAGGTTTCAAACCTGAGATCTTGGAGGAAGCACACCCCCGGCCCCAAGCATTGACCACGGGGCCAACCCCTTGAGGTTAGGTAAATTACACTCTTGATCTAAATTTGATTTTACTCTATATTGTCTGAACAATTTGGTCACTATACTTTCAGCCTAGTTTCAATTTGGTCCTTCTATTTAAATTGGACGTTGAAATTGGCAATTTTGTTACACATGTCACTCTCCTAAGATGTACATGTAGAAGAAATTGACAGTCATTTGGACAGAATGATCAAATTGAAACTACCCTTAAAGTGTAGGGACCAAATTGTTCAAATTCAAACAATAAGAACCAAAGTGAGATTTTAGTCAAATTATAGGTGGTGAAAAGTGTAATTTATCCTTTTCTTTTTAGACAGCAACATAGCAAATTGTATTGTGAAAGTGGCAGGGAGGCACAACCCACAGACAACCAAACAAAAAGGAAAAAAAAATAAATAAATAACAGAAAGGTTTCCACAGAAAATAAGATACACAGTGGATATTAAAGATATGCTAGAATTCACCTTGAGGGCAAATGAAGATTCCGCTGCATGTTTCCTGGTCAGAAGCTTAAGTTCCTTTGCCACTGTAAAATCAGGGTCTTGTGGGTCCAACCAATGGAATTTTATCTTCCTCCCAGGCTTTCTTGGGTGGTCATCAAACATCTCCATTTCAGCAGCACGAGCCCGGACAGGCCTTGGCATCCCAGACATCATGAATGGGAAATTAACCATCTCCGACACAATTTGTTTGGCCTGCTTTGAATTTTCCATCTCCACCAAAGCACAACGTGGTATGTTCCTCGGCTCTGTGTAATTTGGAATGAACTGAACTTTCTCAACATTCCCAAATTGATTGAGTGCTGTTCTCAGCACAGCTTCAGTGACCTGAGGTGAGAGATTGTCAATGTAAACATTCCTCCTAACCTTCTCCTCAAATGCAGCATACTCTGCTTCCTCTGAATCCATGACGAAGTAGCTGTAGGCCTGAGTCAGAAACAGGTCTCAGTATAACCACTTAACAGATTTACATCATTATCCACTTGCAACGAGACACATAAAAGATTGAACAACACACATTTGTATGCTGCTGTGAGTGAACATATGACAAAGCAATACACTAATAGAAGCATGAGAAATGCATAGCGTCCAAAGTTAATAGAATCTCCGCCATTTCAACAACCAAAAATTAAAAATAAAAATAAAAATTATGAACCTTGACTCTATTCCCCAATCTAATTACTTACCACTGCACAGACATTACATAGGGTGGAAGAACACCATATGGAATGGTGAGACTGGCATCAAGACATCCACACAAAGCTTTATTTCAGTACATGATTTAATCTAACTTCATAGACCACTCATCATGGTGTGATGGAGATGATTAATGCTAGCCAACCCACACTCGATGTTGTTTATATGAGATAGAGATCTTTGCCATTCACAAGCCACTGAGATAACTGATTGTATAAGTTATCTTTCTAGGCCCGTATATTTTCAGTTGTTTCTCCATACATTCAATTTTTTAACTTTCTTCTAAAAAATAATGCTTTGAAGAGTTTTCCAAAAAGGTGGGGAATTGCATTCTCTACCATATCTTACTTTTTATATTTTATGGTTAAAAGTTCCGTATTTGCTCTCTAGCATCAACACAGCGGTTTATATCTCATTCAATTCTATTTTATCATCTCTTCATTGACACTCCTATGTGACAATGAACAACATGCCATCCAACATTTCAAAGCTATGGTTAAGTTGCTTTGTTCTAGTTAGTTTAGTTAGAATTTTGCCTGAGTTCCACAAACTAGTATTTGCCTCCTAAGATACATGCTTGCAGTATTTGGATGCAGCATCTTTTATTATGAATATAATTCTTTGACTGATAGCCGTTGTTTATTAGTTTTGATTTATGGGAAACCTGTTACTGTGACCTTTTAGTAAATTCATTTCAATAATTCCAATATAGATAGGCCAAAGTAAAAACAAACTTGTTTTCAGGGGTATTCCTCCCTTTTTTGTTAAGTAAGATTTCATAATGAACAAATATGCATATGAAGTACTGATCAGAAGGACTACGCACTTGTCCCAAAACAAACCTAACAGCTAAAGGAAATGTTTCAACAATCAGTTTTTGAAAGAATTCACTGGTTGTTTTGGGAACATCAAGTTTTAGCCAAAAAGCCACTACAAAAAAGCCAATTCTTCTCTCTACTTTTTTGCATGTTTTTTCGTAAAAAATCAAAAATCCACTAAAAAAGCCAATTCCCAAAACAACGAATTTTGTTTAAAACCCAACAAACAATCAATATAACAGAATGAAGGGACTTAAACACCAAGCTCACTAGGTACCATTAAATACCTAAAGAGATTGCAGTACATTATGAAACACAAAGAGAGAGAGAGAGAGAGAGAGAGAGAGAGAGAGAGAGAGAGAGAGTTGATCTCATGGGAGGAAGAGACGAGACCTCCGGCCATTTTGCCAACATTGATCAAATGCATCATTGATTCAACAACGGTTTTTTTTTTTTTTTTTTGAACTATTGATTCAGCAATGGTTGACAACTGGTTTTTTTGCAGATCTTTTTTAGAACCAAGAAGAATGGGTGCATATGAAAGACTTGGCAACTATTGACAATGGGTTTTGAGTCAAATCATGAAGAACGGATGCATAGGGGAAAAAGTGGTATGAAACTGTTGTTTTTCTCTTTTTCCCTTCTATTAAGTGTATATACCATTTATCCAAACCACACATAAATAAATGCAAAATGTTTGGGAAGCACTAATTTGGCACCCCTAATGACATGGCATGGACCGTGTGAAGGGGTGGGCCTACACTCTTCTCTCTCTCTTTATTCTCTCTCTCTTACGTCATTAGGGATAGATTAGGGATGATATATTGGTGGGATGTAGCATGATTGTATTAGAAAATGAGGGAAACACCAAAAAAAAGTGTATTAGAAACAGCATTAGATTGAATTACATTCCATCAAAATGACATAAAAAGGAAAAAGAAAAAACACACATAATTTATTTAACCCCAAAGAAAAAGTATCATCAACCCATAAAATGTCATTACAATCCGTCAAATCATCATCTAACAAAGTGTGTTCATGAAACTAAAATTCCTTTATTTTTGTGTGTGTGTTGACATGGAATATACATATGAAAGGGTGGTGAGTCTCACTGTTTTTCAAATACAGTGAATTCTAGACATAAACATTGACTTTTATTACATGAACAACACTAGGAAATGAAAAATAAAACAAATTAATTAGGGGATAAATAGCATTTCTCTTCTTTTTTGTTTTTTGTTTTTTGTAGATGCAGTTGTTGATAATGTGATATGTGGGCTTGACAATTGTAGTTGTTTTTTGTTTCTTGAAGTTGAAGAACAAAGATACGTGTCTTCCTCAATAGAGCATAAGTAGGGTTTTTTTTTTTTTTTTTTTTTTTCCTGTTGAACCAAATAGCTCAAACCAGAGTGGTTTTTTTCCTGATCACGAAATCAAATAAAAGAATGTTCGCCCAAGAAGAAGGAGAGAGAGAGATGGATGGTGGAAATGGCATTACCTGAAAAGGAATTCGCGAATCCTTCGGGCTTCGGCTCTCCTCCTCCTCCTCCTTTCTCTCTCTCGCCAGAGGCGGTTTCTTTCTAAAAAGAATTATATAGATGAAAAAGTTCATCAAATTTAATGATTAAATTTATTACTTTTTCTATGAATTTATAAATATTTTATAAAAACATCACTTATTTACAATTTTTCTTTTTTTTAAAAACTTTTATTGATGAAATTACATAAACTATTTTATTTTTTAGTATGCTAAATTAACCTATGTATTATCCATATTATCAAATATTGGAATCAAATTCAAACTCTTGTTTTTTGGCTTCGTTTGGGAAGCGTGTTGACTTTTTAGTTTTTTACCTTTTGTTTAGCAACTCAATATTTTAGTTTAAAAGTTAAAAAATTACTAAAAAATAAAAAAGTCATTAACCTATACCAAAAAGTTAAAATTTCTTTTTTTTCTTTACTTTTTGCACATCTTTTTATAAAAAGTCAAAAAGTAATATCAAATATATTAAAATTTTGGTATCTCATATTTTAGTAAAAAAATTTAAAAGTTATTGAAATAGCATATTTCCAAACGAGGTCGTCTGGCCCAAAAAAATTGTTTGAGTTGAGCTTTTTGACTTTTGTGAGAGAAAAAGTGAAATGATTATGATTTGCATGTAACATTTTGTTTTATTGATTTTTTAGCCTATTTTATCTTTTTGTGACCAAATTAACCCCAAACCTTAAAGAAGTCTCATGCTAAACGAGGGTTTTTTTTTTTTAGAATATAAATCAAACTCTTAGTTGATCTCGACTATTCACCACACCGCCCTACGAACATGAAAAGTAATTTGATAGTTTAAGAGCATTATTTTATACCATTCATGTTTAAATAAGTGTCTAACTGTCTCTTGAAAAGAGACAAAAACAAATAGTAAGAGTCGCTGTTTCAACCAATAATATTCTGATTGGGGCACCACCTAGATTTGTCATAGGGGGAATGAATAATTTCTCCAGAACATGCATCATATCTCTTGAAAAGTGGAACCACTCAAGACCATCTCTAACATGTACTCATATTTTTCATCAAATTTAAATTTGATAAAAATTTAGTGAAAATGATGCCCCAATCCTGTCATCAAAGTGGTATCAATTAAAGGATGTGGCAATTTTTTCATCAAAATGAAGGAGCGTTTAACCTTTTATCAAATTTTGAAATTGACCATTGGTGAACGACTGGGTGGACGGGTGGACAACTAGATTTTGATCAAGATTTACTATACGCTAGATGAAAACGATTGGTATGCACAAGGTTCTAAAAAACGGTTGTGGTCGCCGTAGCCATAACGGTGGCGGTGGCGGTGGAGCGGTTGCGGTTGCGGGGTGTAAAGGCCATGGCATAACGGTTGTGGTAACCGAAACTGTGAATTTTTTTTATTTTTTGCACAATTTGAAAAAAATTTACCGATATGCATATTTTTTTTCCATAATCATATTTATTGGGTTTAAAATAAATATTGATCAATTTTTGTAAATTTTTAAGTATAATCTAATATATTTCATATTTTTAAATCACTATAAACTGAGTTTTTTACATTTTATTTTAATAATTAATGACTTTATATTATACAAAAAATCAATCACTAACTATTATATATAAGATAAACAATGACAAAAGTAAGAGAATAAATAAGAGCCTAAATATATATATATATATATATATATATATATTAACCAAGCCAAATAGATAATGACCACACTTATTATTATTATTATTATTATTATTATTATTATTATTAGACACACAAACAAAAAGGTTGAATGATAGCAGCAGAATAGAATAACATAGGTCTTACAACTTCAACAAATCAATAACATGTTCTTCTTTCATCTTCTCTCTCTCTATCTCTTGTTCCTCCATCTTTTCTCTTTATCTTTCATCTTCTCTCTATCCCTCTTTTCCCATTTTCAATTTTTTTTTGTTTTTGTTTTGTGTGTTTTTTCGAAAGAAACAGTTTGGAACCGTTACGTAACGGTGCGTAACAAGCTGTTACGGCACTGTTATGACAGCTACGGTAACCGCTATGGCCGACACACCTGTGAATCTCAATCGCACTGTGAAAATGGCCGTAACGGGTGGCGGTAACTACCACAATCGTTACGTAACGGCGTTACGTAACGGTTGCGGCCACTTTTTAAAACCTTGGGTGTGCATCATATCATATCAAAATCTTGATCAAATTCGGTTGATATAGCATTGTTGAAGATAGAGGTGTACCTCGGACAAGTTCAAACGGATTAAAAAGGTTGTTTAAGTTCAGTTTAAATTGTGTTAAGAACTATCTAGACCTATTTAAGTTTGACTTATAATACGAGGTTATCTATCCAAGCCTAACTCGAGTTAGTTTGGAATTGATTGAATTGTCTGAATTGCATATAAATTTGAGGATTTTTGTTTGTTTGAACAACTAAGTTAATTAATTTATTAAAATTAAACTCTATTTACATTTTTCTTTTATAAAAAGCAAATAATTTATGTAATGTGAGAGATAAAAACTGAAGAACCTATGTACCGCTACGCTGGTTTTTACAATTTTTGAGTGAAAAATTAAAAAATGGAAGATTTTTTGTTGTTTTATTTGTTTGTGGGTAAATTACATTGACACCCCCTGAGGTTTATGTTTATTACAGTTTCCCCCCTTACCTTTTGGAAATTATATCTCCTTCCCTGAGGTTTAAAGTTTTATTATAAATTACTTCCTCCAACAATTTAATTTTTTTAAATACCAATTTTTCCCTCACTAGGTAAATTACATTGACACCCCTCACATTTTAGAAATTACAATCCCTTCCCCAAGGTTTAAAGTAGCATTACCAATTGCCTCCTCAGTTAGTATTAGTTGAAAAAAAAATTCATTGAAAAAAAAAATTAATTGGAAAAAATATTATCTGAAAAAAAAATCAATTGAACAAAAAAAATTTTTAGTCAAATTTTTAAATTTCTGTTTAAAAACCAACGTAAGATAAAAATTACACTGACACCCTTGAGGTTTATGTTTATTACACTTGAAAGATAAAAATTATATAAAAATGATAATTATTTTTTATTTTTTATTTCTTAACCAAATTAATTTTTAAAATTTTTTTCTAAAAATCAAACCATATATAGCCTAAGAATCTTTTGATAAGTTATTTCTTACGTTGGTAACTTATTTAATTATTTGTTAATTTTACGACATTTTTATATCTGAGGCCTGTTTGGTAACCATTTCGTTTTCAGTTTTCAATTTATATTTACAAAAATTTTAAAAATTGTCATAAAAATTTGTTTGATAATTTTTTTGGTTTATAAATGGTTGTCTCAATTTGTAAATTTGAGGAAAAAACGTAAATTAAAAAAATGAGTTTACGTTAGTTTTTAGACAGAAATTTAAAAATTTAACTAACAAATTTTTTTTTTCAATTAATTTTTTTTCAAATTATTTTTTTTCCCATTAATTTTTTTTTTCAATGAATTTTTTTTTCAACTAATACTAACCGAGGAAGCAATTGGGAATGCTACTTTAAACCTTTCGGAGGGGATTGTAATTTCTAAAATGTGAGGGGTGTCAATGTAATTTACCCAGTTAGGGCAAAATTGGTATTGAAAAAAATTAAATTGCTGGAGGGAGCCATATGTAATGAAACTTTAAACCTCAGGGAAGTGGATGTAATTTCCAAAAGGTGAGGAGAACTGTAATAAATATAAACCTCAGGGAGTGTCAATGTAATTTACCCTTTGTTTATAATATATATTCAATATAATCTAACGATTTACTTTAATATCATTCAGTGATTAATAATTTATGTTTACATTTAATATTTATATATACATAAATATATTATTTGGATTTTGGGTTGCTCAAGTTATTTAGTGTCTTTGTCCAAATTTACTCTAATTTAATTCAAACTTATGATTTTTGCTTAAATTTACACCGAATTCAAAAATATTTTATTCAAGTCATAAAGAAATTTGAATTGAATTCTCAAGTAGAATTCGTCTAAGTTACACCAATAATGTAAGGTTGTAATCAAAAAATTTAACCGTTACATCGAGGGCTATTTGGCTAACCAATACAACTCTATCCACTATAAAGTGATCCTGACCCTCTATGTATGTATGGGGCCCACTCATGTATGTGTCAGATATGTGAGGGTTTTATGGAGGTCTTGTAGAGGTGGAGGTCTTAATCATTACTCTTTTTCTTTAGAAAATGTTTGGGACCCCTTTTTGGGGGATGACCCTCACACTCCCAAAGTGATCCAAACCTTCCATGTATGTGTGGGGCCATAAAAATAAACCCATAATATACCTCAAATTAAGGCATAACAGTCACAACTGTGCTAAAGGCACAGCAATGACCCTTAATCCTTTGGCCAACACTTTGTAGACACAGCCAATCAATTAAAGCCCCTTCACATTCCCTTTTTCTCACTCTACCCCAACCCAGCCGAATCCAATCTCCCTAGGCTAGTCAATATAAATTGTTTACTCCTTTCCCTTTCTCTTCCCTTTCCTACCCTGACCCAACCCAACCCAACCCAACCCTATCCAATTCCCTTGGCGTAGTCAATATAAATTGTTAGCAGATATAGATAGATGCCAAGGTTGTTGAAAATCAAAGTTTAAATTATAAAAATTAGAAACACATTTTAATTTCATAAATGGTTAAATCTTGGAATTTTTTTGCAATTTTCCCAATAAAAAAATTGAGGGAAATTATAAAAAAACAAAAATCTCAAAGTTTGACCCTTTTAACAAAATAATTATTGAATTTTTAATTTTATCAATTTAAACCCTAAACTTTTTATTTGTTTTCAATTTATACCATTTTCTTATTTTCATTACGTAAAACCGACTGAAAAAGAGTATCTTAGACATTAAATTTAATAGAAAATGGTATTTTGAACATTTTATGTACACTTACATTGAGTTTAATAACTAAAATACACACTTTTTTTTTATTTATCAATTTTACTTAATGGAAATAGGGTAGTAGTTTAGATTGCAAATAAAAAAAATAAAAATTAGGATTTAAACTTACAAAATAAAAGACTAAAGATTTATTTTGTTACAAGAGTCAAACTTTAGATTTTATTTTATTTATTTATTTATTTTTGGGACGCGGGGGTAAATTTTCCCAAAAATATTGACAATTATGTCATACATGATCAGGCTCCGTAAGATCGTAGAAGTTCCAACCAATAAAAATCCCAATAAACCTACAAAAATGATGAAGGCCCAACAAAAATTACTTGTTTTTCGAAACCTCTGTATAAGTTTTATCCATATATGTTTAGATCACCAACTCATACTTGATTGCATTTTATTATAATCGAAAAACCCAAATGAATGTAGCTTTCCTATTATTATTGAATTAAAACCGCAATCATGACATTCTTTCTCTCTCACTACACAAATGCTTTTACATCTTGTTAACCTGAAATGGCTTAAGAGAGAAAATGTTCATTTTTTTAGAGTACTTCCCGAAATAGATTAAGTGGAGATAGGGTGGGGCTTAGAGTTCAAAAGATTAGAATACGTGATTACATAATACCAATCAAGCAGCATTAATGTTAGATCATGCAATAGTCATCTTGGTAAGAAATTCTCTGCATGATAAAATGCGGAACACAAGCGCTAAGGGCTATAGCTCAATTGGGTAGGGCACCTCATTTACATGCGTACCAGAGTTCTTTTAGGGGAGTCCATCATGCAAACCAAACATGAAACTTAGTTTCATTTGGCTCTGTTAGAGTGAATTTTAACTATTAGACAGTGAAATTTGACTATTTTTATTTTAAAGAAAGTGAACTTTTCAATGGAGGGGTAAAACTTGCAAAATCAAGAGAATACAAATACTAAGTACCTAGTTTAAGGCAGCAAAATTCCAAATATACTTTTTTGAAATGAAAAATCAATTACCGACTATACAAAATACACATTCAAATGCAAAACAATCACCTCACATAAAACTATGAACAACTTATAATCAGCAGTTCTCAAAAGCAATACAATGATTTACACCTAATTAAGGACACCATCACAATGCAGGGACAATAGTTCCAATGGAAAGTATTGTTGTTAAGAAGTCACTCTGTTTCTTTATGAGTGAATTGTTAAATAACTGAAGTTGTTAACATGCTTTTTTCTCTTCATGTTGGAGAAAAAAATCAATGTGCAATGATCGAAAATAGCTTCCATTCAAGTCTTCTAGAAAAGAGTTTCAACAACCTTTCACCACCATTACTGTACACTCGCCTTTCAAAACAACCCAACTATCTTAACTACAGAAAACTAACTCTAATCAAGAACTAGACAAAGAACAAAAGCAAACTAGGTAATTAACTAAACCATTAACCATGTCAGAACTGACTAAACAACACAAGTTTACTGTTTCTTAGTCCAAACAATAACAAACTGATGAAAACTTATCAGGAAACCTGTCAAGAACTCACAATGATTTCATGTTATAATGGCGTGCCAAGCGATTTGCACTTCCATCATTTAGAACACCCTCTATCAGCTTGTACTTCTCATAATTCGCCTTCAGAGTCTCCGCCTGTTTGTTTGCAAGCTTCTCTTCTTGTGCTAGTTGAGCCTCAGACAAAAAATACTAAATAATTAAATACAAGAAATAAAAATCACAGCTTACTTTTTTTTTGGGGTAAATTACACTCCTTTTCTTTTTGATAACTCGGTATCCGGCCCATTGAACCAACTAATCTAAAAGACCAATCCCACCGTCCACTTGCGGGGGTCTCAATTAAACCAAGGGCTTTGCCCTGTATGGACCGACCCCAAAAAAATTGTTTGCACCTAGGAGGTTTCAAACTTGAGATCTTGGAAGAAGCACAGCCCCATCCCCAACCATTGATTGACCACGGGGCCAACCCTTTGAGGTTAGGCAAATTACACTTTTGATCTAAATTTGATTTTACTCAATATTTTTTGAACAATTTGGTCACTATGATTTCAATTTGGTCCTTCCATTTAGATTGGACGTTGAAATTGGCAATTTTGCTACACATGTCACTCTCCTAAGATGTACATGTAGAAGAAATTGACAGTCATTTAGATAGAATGATCAAATTGAAACTACCCTTAAAGTGTAGGGACCAAATTGTTCAAATTCAAACAATAAGAACCAAAGTGAAATTTTAGTCAAATTATAGGTGGTGAAAAGTGTAATTTATCCTTTTCCTTTTAGACAGCTACATAGCAAATTGTATTGTGAAAGTGGCAGGGAGGCACAACCCACAGACAACCAAACAAAAAGGGAAAAAAAAAAAAATAACAGAAAGGTTTCCACAAAAAATAAGATACATAGTCGATATTAAAGATATGCTAGAATTCACCTTGAGCGCAAATGAAGATTCCGCTGCATGTTTCCTGGTCAGAAACTTAAGTTCCTTCGCCACTTTAAAATCAGGGTCTTGTGGGTCCAACCAATGGAATTTTATCTTCCTCCCAGGCTTTCTTGGGTGGTCATCAAACATCTCCATTTCAGCAGCACGAGCCCGGACAGGCCTTGGCATCCCAGACATCATGAATGGGAAATTACCCATCTCCGATACAATTTGTTTGGCCTGCTTTGAATTTTCCATCTCCACCAAAGCACAACGTGGTATGTTCCTCGGCTCTGTGTAATTTGGAATGAACTGAACTTTCTCAACATTCCCAAATTGATTGAGTGTTGTTCTTAGCACAGCTTCAGTGACCTGAGGTGAGAGGTTGTTAATGTAAACATTCCTCCTAACCTTCTCCTCGAATGCAGCATACTCTGCTTCCTCTGAATCCATGACGAAGTAGCTGTAGGACTGAGTCAGAAATAGGTCTCAGTATAACCACTTAACAGATTTACATCATTATCCACTTACAACGAGACACATAAAAGATTGAACAACACACATTTGTATGCTGCTGTGAGTGAACATATGACAAAGCAATACACTAATAGAAGCATGAGAAATGCATATCGTCCAAAGTTAATAGAATCTCCGTCATTTCAACAACCAAAAATTTTTAAAAAAAATTATGAACCTTGACTCTATTCGCTAATCTAATTACTTACCACTGCACAGACATTACATAGGGTGGAAGAACACCATATGGAACTGGTGAGACTGGCGTCAAGACATCCACACAAAGCTTTATTTCAGTACATGATTATCTAACTTCATAGGGTGGAAGAACACCATATGTTTTCACTACTCTATTTACAATTAGAGTTCTAATTCTCACTCTCTCTCATCCTCTCACTACAACAACGGCGATTTGCGATGGCGACAATCTAGCGGCAACAAGATTGTGACTATCGATCAAAAATGCGCAATTAATCATAACCAAAACTTAGAAATTGAAGGCAAAAATGTACACAATTTCAATTAAGTTAAGATGAAAATTGGGAAATTCAATCTAAGGTTACCATCAAATCATAGAAAAATCAAATAAAACAATTGCAAGAGATATTGAAACAAGAAAATTCATTCTATAAATGCAAATAAATATTAAAAAAAAAGAAAGAAACGAGAGCAACAACTCACTTTCAGATTATCGAAAATCAATTAATGGAGAGGAGAATGAGATATATAAAATTTAAAAAATTAAAAAAGAAGATGAAATTTTTTTGTAGGAATAGAATTTTCTTATTTAAAAAATTCTAAATATATATAAAATTTGACGAGAATAATGTGACAATGTTAATTAATGTGTATTTGATTTTGTTGTTGAGCCAAATAAAATAAAATAAGATTGAATTTATATTTAACTTTGGTTGTGAATCTTTAAAAAAAAAAAAAAAAAAAAAAAAAGGAAAAGAGGTCATGTTAGGTTGGAGAAAATCCAAACCCATTAGGAGATGGGGAGGGTAGTACTTATGGGGAATGGGGAATGAGAAAAAATAATTATAGGGGAATGGGGACGGGAATTAGTATCCCCATTAACCCAAATTGCTATCCCTAGTGAAACCATATGGAGAAATCATTTTTCGATGTACCTAAAAACAAAGAAAAAGCATATAAGAAAATTAGTAGATACCTATCCCCGTCCCATCCCTAGTAGAGATTTAAAGAACATCACTTACCCTACCCGACGGACAAGAAAAAAGGAAAAAATCCATGTATTTGGGTTGGGTCTTCATGAATACCCACATGGTAGGTCATCCATTGCCATTCCTATTTTGTACCATATCTTACTTTGTATATTTTATGGTATATTTGCTCTCTAGCATCAACACAGTGGTTTATCTCTCATTCAATTCCATTTTATCATCTCTTCATTGACACTCCTATGTGACAATGAACAACATGCCATCCAACATTTCAAAGCTATGGTTAAGTTGCTTTGTTCTAGTTAGTTTAGTTAGAATTTTGTCTGAGTTCCACAAACTAATATTTGCCTCCTAAGATACATGCTTGCAGTATTTGAATGCAGTATCTTTTATTATGAATACAATTCTTTGACTGATAGTCATTGTTTATTAGTTTTTGGTTTATGGGAACCATGTTACTGTGACCTTTTAGTAAATTCATTTCAATAATTCCAATAAATATAGGCCAAAGTAAAAACAAACTTGTTTTCAGGGGGTATTCCCCCCTTTTTTGATAAGTAAGATTTCATAATGAACAAATATGCACATGAAATACTGATCAGAAGGACTACGCACTTGTACCAAAACAAACGTAATAACTAAAGGAAATGTTTCAACAATCAGTTTTTGAAAGACTTCACTGGTTGTTTTGGAAACATCAAGTTTTAGTCAAAAAGCCACTACAAAAAAGCCAACTCTTCTCTCTACTTTTTTCCATGTCTTTTCATAAAAAATCAAAAAGTCACTAAAAAAGCCAATTCCTAAAACAATGATTTTTTTTTAAAACGCAACATACAATCAATAAAACAGAATGAAGGGACTTAAACACCAAGCTCACTAGGTACCATTAAATATCTGAACAGATTGCAGTACATTATGAAACATAGAGAGAGAGAGAGAGAGAGAGAGAGCTGATCTCATGGGAGGAAGAGATGAGATGTCCGGCCATTTTGCCAACATTGATCAAATGCATTGTTGATTCGGCAATGTTTTTTTTTTTTTTGAACTATTGATTCCGCAATGGTTGACAACTGGTTTTTTTGCAGATCTTTTTTAGAACCAAGAAGAATGGGGTGCATATGAAAGACTTGGCAACTATTGACAATGGGTTTTGAATCAAATCATGAAGAACGGATGCATAGGGGAAAAAGAGGTATGTAATCGTTGTTTTTCTCTTTTTCCCTTCTATTAAGTGTATATACCATTTATCCAAACCACACATAAATAAATGAAGAATGTTTGGGAGCACTAATTTGGCACCCCCAATGACATGGAATGGATCATGTGAAGGGGTGAGCCCACACTCCTCTTTCTATCTCTCTTTATTCTCTCTCTTACATCATTAGGGATAAATTAAGGATGCTATATTGATGGGATGTAGCATGGTTGTAAATAAATTCTATGAGAGTTTTGGCATGAATTGAAATCTACACATCTTCAAAATGAGGGGAACACCAAAAAAAGTGTATTAGAAACAGCATTAGATTGAATTACATTCCATCAAAATGGCAAAAAAAAAAAAAAAAGGAAAAAGAAAAAGCACACATAGTTTATTTAACCCCAAAGAAAAAGTATCATCAACCCATAAAATGTCATTGCAATCCATCAAATCATCATCTAACAAAATGTGTTCATGAAACTAAAATTACTTTATTTGGAAAAAAAAATGCCATTAAAAAGCACTAAAATTCCCATTTAAAAAAAAAACAAAAATAAATATTTCACCACCTATTTGGTTTCTCATCTGGGTGGTGACTCTCACTGTTTTTCAAATACAGTGAATTCTACACAAAAACATGGACTTTTATTACATGAATAGCAGTAGGAAATGAAAAATAAATACTGATGATACTACTAGTCCCTGAGAAACGGGCCGGGCTGATCCAGGCCTCCCACGCTGTCGTCCGATCACTGGGCCCACTGAGAAACCTGCACAAGAGTCCAACGGGGAATGGGTGTCCCTTAGCGAACCCTCCGACGAGCAAGTTAGAGAAGAGGGATCAACGGAATCTGGAGATAGGAAGGAGATAAAGAACTTAACCTTCATTTTGTCTTAGAAACCTGCTTATATCCTTTGTTCACCATTTCCTTGTCCACTTCGACGTGTCATGTTGGCTGAAAGCCTATGTTTTAGCTTGCCTTGTTCATGGTGAGGCTGTTTTGTCCCGATGTGAAGGGGTTCTCGTATTAAATGCTGTAGGAAACCTCATTAATGGCTGGTGTGTGGTGCAATAACTTTGCAGGATCTTTGTCTGCTTATGTGGCTGGTTTTTCTCTTGACAAATGTTTTGATGTCATTGGTCCTTGGTGCAACGTTGGGCTCCAGCAATGTTGGGCTTTAGTGTTTGAATTATGTATTGGGCTCTAAGTGATGGGCCAAAAGCCCCTATAGGCCCATCTATGTCAGTAGTCCCCCATTCCCAAGTGCAGCTTCAGTCCAATGAAGGGAATAAGGAAGAAGACGGGGGTTATGAGAGGTCGACGGAGAGAAGATTGACTGGGAGGTGGGCCGACTGCGAAGGGTGACCGAGTGAGAAGGCCAGCTGAGAGGAGGGCCGACCACAAAAAATGACCGAGTGAGAAGGCCGATTGCGAGGAGGGCAGACCGCGAAGGGTGACCGAGTGAGAAGGCCAATTGCGAGAAGGGCCGACCGCGAAGGTGACCGAGTGAGAAGGTTGACTGCGAAGAAGGTCGATCGCGAAGGGTGATCGAGTGAGAAGGGGAAATGGCGGCACGCGGGGCTCGAGGCGCGGCATGGCATGTGATGATGTGAAGTGGAATAGACAGGGAAGGGGAAGAGAGTAGTGGATCGTGGTCGTACACGTGGCACAATCCCGTAATAAGGGAAGTGATGCGTTAGCAGGAAATGAAGGGATAGGCTAATATAGGGCGTTGAAGAGGCAGGGCGGAAGTTTTCGAAAATTTTCAAACTAGTGAAATTTAATCTTGACCCTTAGAATATAGGCAAACTGTGGGCATTTGGAGTTATTCGCTTTACTTACCTTATCGCAAAAAACCAACATACCCCAGAGGTGAACTCATTTGTTTCATGTGACACGCCTCTGCAACACGTTGCGAACCTCCTTGTGCCAACGTCCGAAACAATGCGCAGACACGTAGGAGGAATGGCTCAAGATGAAGTGCCAGCCGCAAAGGCTTGACTCATTAGGAGATGACGACGTAGTGGAGTTGGCGAAACAGTATCGAGCGGAGCGGAGGGAGGAGAGGGGAGCTGGGCAAGTGGCGCGGGCTCGTCCGACGACGATGATCGCCGCTGCTAAGCCAATTAGCCAAGTGGAGTTGGACCACTGGCACACCAAGGTTGACAGGTCTACATTTACGGCGGAGGAGTTGGAGGAGGTACGAAAGAAGTACCAAATTCTAGCGGTGATAGAGTTGAGGCTGCCCATATCTAAGGAGAGGGCGTCGGATGCATGGCTGGCAGAATTCACCTTGTACGAGGAAGCATTGCGAGGATGCCTAAGGTTGCCGATCCCCCAAGTAGTGGTGGATGTATTGAACTGATTGGAGGCGGCGCCGGGGCAGTTGATGCCCAACGCATGGTGTAGACACCCCATTTTTGACCGTCCTCAAGACTTGGACGTCACCGTTTGAACACACGGTGATCTTCCATGTTTGTGTTCGTTTGGAGTTCCCGAAGGTCTCGGCTCGCGCGCCTTGCCTCAAGATCCCCGAACTCAACCGTTTAG